ACATCCAGGCATCGCCACAGTAGTTGCTCCGGGACATAGCAGTGTCCCTGGTTATCGGACTCAGCCACGCGGCGATCGCAGACAATACCTTCGTGCTGTGCAGCCTCTTTCCATTAATCCCACTCCACAGGGTCAGCGTTCCATCGAACCCGCCCGTTGCGAGAATCAGCCTCGTGCTCAGGCTTGGGGAGAAAACGGCGGCATACACAAAATCGCTGTGCTGCAGGCGGAGGCACGAGACTGGGCCACTTTTTAGGAAAGTGTTTAAGTGCCAGACCCTGGCACTGAAATCGGAGGAGCAGGATACAATGGCCGAGCTGTCTTTCGACCAATCGAGGCCGTAAATCAAATCCTGGTGTCCTGGCAACACCGCAAGTACCTTGAAATTTATGGAATCCACAACCAGTACCTGCATCGACATCGATCGGGAGTGAAATGCAGGTTTGTCCACCAGACATTGGCGCCAAGAGTCAGGCTTGGTTCTTACGCCGTAAAAACTGATCATATTTACCTTTTTACGCGTAAAAATGCGTAAAAATACGTAAATACAACGTAAAAACTGCGTGGTGTACATAAAGACAGTACATGCAGACTGGCGGAGCCCGGAAAGTGGCAGCCAGACGCCTTGGAAGGGGCAGAAAACGAGTTTTTGTTAAACCCCATCATCGCCCCTGCCAAAAGCGATGTAGACATTGTGCTGCGGGTGCTGGAGATGGCGGAGCGCTGATCGTTGTACGCAACGTTCATCGTGTAACCTAGGCGTCGCAGGGATCCGAAAAAACGTAAAAATAGGCCCTTCTGCAAATTTACGTTTTAACGCGTAAAAACGTAAAAGTAAAAGCGCAAACGTAAACGTAAAAACCAAGCCTGCCAAGAGTTACGCTCATTTAGATGCTTTTCAATATGCATGAGGTGCATCCTTTCATTGCTTTCCAGCCTCTCCACTATGTGTATGTTTGCTGATTTGGATAAATGTCCGCTTGTACGTTTCTGGCGCTTTCATTTGGAGCCAAAGAACTTCCATGCCGCGTACCGTGTCTCCCACTAGAGGTAGCAGCAGCCAGGACAAAATCACGCTTGACTCCCTGAAACCAGTTTGGATAATGGATTTGGTTTCGATAGCGATTGAATGGCGATTAGCCATGCATCTGGAACATACTGCCAGTAGTTTCAAAAACAGCGGCTGAGGGTGAGGACAACGTGGTCAGGGTGGCACGGATGTGTGCGCGGATGGCTCAAGGCACACTGGATCCCATACTTTGTTGTCTCTTACCTTAAAGCAGCCATTGGAATCTCCGCATGCAGCCGCCAGAAGCCTTCCGTCTCTCGAAAACCGCAGTACAGTGAAACCCTGCTGTGTTCCCGGCAGCATGCGGTGCACACTGTTTGGAATTTCGCACAGGTCAGCGGGATCCCGATGCAGACTGCCACCGAAAGGCTCCTGCAAAAGCCCTTGAGTCCTCAACATGGCTACCTATTCAGCGCTTGTTGGAATGCGCGTATTTCAAGCATCCATACTATTATAGAAGCACATCACAGTGCACGGATTTAAGAACTTTCGGATGGAAATCCTTGCCTGAGCGCTTTTGCTGGGAATGGAGCGATGCACCCTCAATCGGGGACGGAACTGAACTTCTTGGTGCCTTTTGTGCACAATTGAGCACATCGCTTGCAGACACCCATCAGCACTCACCGCGCCCTTGATGCTTCCGTATCCAATATCCCCTTCGCCACAAGTCTCGTCCCATAAGCCAGTTATCGACGGATCGCCTGGCTCGGTTGCAGTGGTACCTCCACCGCCCCCGGGATTACCACTGCAGAGTGGGAGCTCATGTCCTATTGCAGCGTACTCACTGTGGCTGATCCTTGTGGCGCCGAGTATTATTCGCAGTGACGAGGGGTATTTGGGGCGCCTGCTCCCCCCTGTGTGCATTTTCCACGAATGCAGTAAAGGGCCGCTTGGGCACGCTGCTTCAGCAGCAATAGGTTTTCTGGTGACGGTGTTTCCGTATTTGAAGAGCTGCAACCTGAGGGATCCATACGCAGGGCCTTCATTTCCCCCAAGTCTGAGGAACCCCCAAGCAATGCGACGTTGGGCGTCTTCACAACAAGGAGCTCCTCCTTTGGGGGGTGTGAACGACAATGGAGGCTGCAGCATCTGCGGCACAAAAGACACACCTTTGAAAGGGCATGTTCCATTCCAAGCAGACTGTAATGGAAGGCGTAAAGAGATTTGTAGGCAGCCATACAGGTAAGTGTTCAAATTTGCCATTTTTAATTGTGATGCTGCGCAAAGTGTCTTTCAGTCAATCAGCGTATTGGTCGCAGTGAGGAAACCAACATCGTTGTCAAGGGACATTATTTTTCTGTGAGCATTGCGGCAGCCATACACCTGCAGCTGCAGCCATTCAGTCCACCGTGAGCGATGCATATCTACGGGAAGAGAAAGCGAAATCTGCCAGTTGCTCCTGTAAGATCCATGCTGGTTAGTTTAAATATAACCAACCCTTAATGCATTTATCAAATAGTGCAAGTGCGGCATGTGAATTGTTAATTCCGGCATTTCAACGTGGAATCTAATCTGTGTGATTTACCATTAGGTATTTCAACCTCGAACAACAATGTAGCTCCCATTTCCTTCAGTTTTCTCTCTTCTTCGCACACCGAAAATGTTTCGTCCCATCGTGCCCACGCAAAAACCGAGGGCAGCTGGCATGGTGCAGTTTGAAACGTCGGAATGTAGTCCATCACATCTGGGCGAGGGGAGCTGGTGCTGCTGTCCATCGTCAGTATCTGGATTCCCTCGCCAGATGGCGGCGAATGGGATCCAGGACCGTGGCTGTGCATGCGCAAAACAAAAGTACTCAAATGGTGTTCTTTCTGTGCATTCGGAGCCACTTCGCGATCTCCTTCCCATGATCGACCGCGGACGTGGATTCGATCCATGGAAAAAGCGCGGGTTATGTTAACTGTCACGAGCACTGTGCATTGCCAGGTCCAATCAATGCGTGAGGTCAAGGACACCTACATCCTCGTTTTAACTAAATTTGTCATTTGACTATGCAAAGTTTGCGTTTTACAATTGCACCGAACTGGCGGTGTCGGGCGATGTTCCCAAGCACATGTTTTTGTCAAAGGCACATCTCAAGCGCACGTGCGCGCTGCGAAAGTACAGGGCTCTTTCCGACGGATCACCTGAGATACATCCTGGCCATTTCGCTTTTCTTGACATAGGCCCCTGTCTCCGGATCCACAACGTGAACGCGCAACACCGGGGAGACAACGTCATCGCTCTCGGCCATTCTATCCGCTTCGCATATTGTCAGTCTGAGAAAGCGGACTTCCTCGAGCGGGTTTTCCATGTCAGACCGCCTTGCAACGAAGCAATCCCGCGCCAAACACGTTGCTGGGTGGTGTACTTGCATTGGGCCGCATCTCTGTCTTGTGGGTCAGCCGTATCTTGCATGTGAAGAGTTTTAAAGCTGGAGTGACCATTACTACGTAATAAACAATGCGCTTTGTGAGAAAAATTTTGTATTTCTTGAAGGGCGCAAGGTAATTAGAAGAAGGATTTCAATTCCTGAATTGCACTCATCACCCACACAATCATTTCGCCACAAGAGCTTGGCCTGCAAGAAACGTGTGCGCTGGGAACGAGGCTTCAACAACGATGCAATGCGGGGGCAGAAACGGGAGGGTGGCTTCTTCATCGACGCTGTCGTGGAACATGAATGCAGCACTCATATGCCAGTATTCTGCATCCAGAAAATCGGTGCTTCAACTCTTGAATGATACGGACTAGCATGTAGTGTCAGTCGAGCCGACAATAGCACTTCCCGGTGAGCTGGGTAGCTGCACTGATTTCATAGTTGTACAATGAATACGTGCGCTCACCAAGCATAATTCTTGGCAGAGCAAATCACATGAGGCGATTCCTGGCGAGTAATTTGACCTGCCAGTTGTTCAATTGTTCATGGCAGTGTTGCTTGACAAGGGGTTGCTTGCATCCTTCATAAAAGTTCAGAAACTGCAAGCGATGCGCAGAGAGGGGCGGTGCGGGGACGTGGCCCGAAAGTGAGCACAGTCAGCCAGCCAATTGCTGAGCGCTAAATATTCCCTGAAACAAACACTGCCAGCAGCATGTATGTCCGTCAGTGTTTTGTCTCGGTGGGAGCTCGCACCCGATTTATGGAACAATTTGCAAGGCGTCAGGCTTCGCTTGCTCACACACTCCTGTTTCCCTGGCGTCCAGAGATATTGCGGGGCCGGCCCGCGTCCGCCAAATGGTCCTCCCCAAATGAATGGCGTCTGTTTCGGATCATGGTCCCCTGGTGCTGGTGGAACGCGGCCGCCAATGTCTTCACCAGCCATTCTTCAAGAATTCAGCGTTGGTACAAGCACATCAAGCCAGTCTACCGATATGAACGATTCCTGTCAACCTTACAACCTATCTCCTTGAGGACTTTCTTCCTACGCTTTCGCTGTGGGGTGCATTTTCTAGAAGTCGAGAATCAACGACACCAAGCGAGACAATCCATTCCAGAATTTTCAAGGCGATTGTGTCCTTTATGCCACTTGGCACCTGAAGACGAGATCCATTTTCCCTTCCACTGCGAAGCCTATGACAACATCCGTCAAAGCCACTCTCGCATTTTTCGACGTCGCAATGCAAAAGTACTTTTTGCTAAAGTTCCTGCTCGCCAACTTGCAAACACACTTCGTTTGATGTGTTACCATCGAAAGTTCATAGATGATAGATTTAGTTTGTATTTCTCAATAGATTCCAATGAACCAATCACCGACTCTGCTTTGCTCAAGCAAAATAGGAAGCTGACGGCTACCTCATTGCCTTGTTCTGCAAAAAAATCATGATGATGATGAGGAGGAACGCGGCCGTTATGAAATGGCATGTCCTCGATGAGGATGGTCGTCCCAGCTTTTGGCCTTCCCACTCGCAGCCAAGCCGAAGCGGTGGCCCACCGGCAACTCGCGCGTGCCCCATGCCTGAGTCGGGCGTCACGACGGGCCAGCTGAAGCAGGTGAGCTTATTCTTGCCCTCTGGGCGTCGCCTCCTGGTCGCCCATCCCCCGGGGCTTCCTGCGCGGCGCTGTTCAATCCCCCCAGCAGCAATCTGCAACTTCAGCTGGACCAACTTCGTTTGAACTTCAGCTGGGTGGCACTTCATCAGCTGCATCTCGTCGCCTTTCGGGCCAACTTCACCAGCGCTGTGGGCGGATGTGCGCTGACGAGAGGCCCTTCCCGCGATGTGCCTGGCAGTGGTTTGATGCAGTCGATCGCGACAGGAGCGGGCAGATCTCGGCCAAGGAGCTGCAGACCGCCCTGGACATGGGCCAGCTGAAGTTCAGCCTGGCGACGGTAGCGCACATGATACGGTGGGCGTCACGCGCAGGGAAGGTTGTTGCGTGGCGTTCCAAAATTCTGCAAGTCCCGAATTTCGGAAATTCAAACGTCTGTCAAGAACATCCACTGGGCGCCGTGCAGTTCCTCGTTTACAATCGATTGTGAAAAGGATGTACCGTGGGTGAGCGTACAAGGCGTTGAAGGGCAATGCGTGCATCCGCGTTGTGTGTCCCAGCCTGTTGTTCATGCAATCCACAGCGTTGAGGAGGAACCAGAGGTTGTGTTAGCAGGCATCATTCCCTGCGTGGTAATGCTTGTGGAAATTGCTTGTACCCTGAGAACAGACTGGTCCTGAGGATTCCCAATTTTCAGGATGCATGACAAGGACGGCAGCGGGTCCATCAATTTCCAAGAGTTTGAACATCTCACCACGTTCTTGACCGAAATGCGATCCAGCTTCAACTATTTTGATTCTGATAGGGGCGGCAGTCTGTCCCTGGACGAGATTCATCGGGCCATCACCCATGCCGGTGCGTGTTGAGATACACCCTAGTTGGCTTGACAACCACAAGACTATTGGGCCAGAACACCAGCTGAAGGGGGCTTCTAGGCGGTGCCAACAATATGTGATAGTTGTCCAGCAAGCCAGGTCCACAATGACATGTAGCAGTCATCCGCTTGCCCCATAAGATGTAAGGGACTGACAGAAGAGCAGTGCCAGATTGTGACGGCCTTCACCATCTTTTCATTGCCTGAGGCGTGTGTGGCATGTGCCGTTGTCTGCTAATTGTATTCGCTCTTTGGCAATCAAGTTGCAGACACCACTCAACGACTTACTCCGAAATTGCACTGTTTGACAGTACGATCGAGCTGCGTAGTTCCTCACTGCTGCTTCCTTTCACATTTGAACGTATTTGTATTAAACACATTGCATGGCAAATTGCTTTCAACCATCAGCAAATGTGAGGATCACGCTGGCACAGGCTGAGCAACTTGTACCAGGGCGCAAGATGTGCTAGATAGCAGGCTTGTGTGTTCATGAAGAAGGCAGCCCATTTGTATTTTGACACAGGCCTTGGTCACATGCACTCCAGCAATTCATCTGTTCCCAGACTGGGAAGGCTAACAGGCCATCCCTCCTTTCGGCATGCAGGTTTCCAGCTTGATCAGCCCGCGTTCACTGCATTGGTAAGTGCCCACTGCCATTGCAGCAGTGACAAGCGTATTATCTACTCATTGATTGCATACAGTGACCCCACTGCAATCATAATCCAGCCGCTCCTTGTGTGTTATTGTTTTGAGGGACTTTAGAGCTCTGTTGCTACAGGGTTCAAGTGCTGAGCCATGAAGCACAATCACATTTGGTGCACAGTGCTTACACAGTGCTTTTGTTAGATCGGGCGATGCCCTGATTGTGTGTTTCGGTTGGTGCCCTAAAGTTAAACGTTTTGGAAGGCGGGTGGACCATTGAGCCGCTTTTGCTTCAGGAACGCATGAATGGAAGTCGCTAGCAGTCTGACTGTACTGTTGACAGCGCCTCATAGCAGACCACTGTTGCCTGCATCCAACAGGTGGGCGCCTTTGACCCTGACCGAAATGCCCTCTTGGGAGTGCAAGAGTTCATCGCCATGACGCTGTTCCTAAAGAGCTGCAGCGCCATTTTCACGGCATTTGATCCCCAAAGGAGTGGAAAAGTGACGTTGGATTTCAACCAGTTTGTGTACGCAGCATCCAACTCACGATGAGCTTCGAGGCTGGTGGCCCTGCCCATCTCAGCTGACATTGTTTGTAGACCCAGTGCTGGTGGATTGTGACTGTGGTGAACCGTGCTTGATGTCAGCAACTCTAAGTGGTGGATGTTTGATGCGTTGGTGTGTTGGGGCTCCTCTCTGGATTGCATTTGTGTTTTGGTTGGAAGTGCTTTTCTACAATGACTCGATGCACGCTGCAAGCATGAATGGTGTGCTGCTGGCAGCCAGCCGTTTTGCAGGCACAGCATCAGGGTGTTGTTGCAGCACGAGCAAAAGATCGAAAGAGCGAAACAACTGCGCTTGGGCTGCACTCTGATATTACCTGTTCACAAACCTTGTGATCAAGAAGGGAAGGGAAGGGAAGGGAAGGGAAGGAAAGGGAAGGGAAAAGGTGGACTAATTCTGGACCGAGTGTACATGGGCTAAATCCTTGTGTAGACTCGAAGTTGCTCTGCAGACTTCTCGACATTCTGCTCAAGGGGCGCCGACACTTGTAAATTTCAGTTGCCCTGTTGCGCGAGTTCAAGGCCACCTCCCTTCCAAGGGAAAGCGGGAAAGGGGGGAGAGGTGATCTGGCCCAGATCATCTGGGCCAGTATCCATCCTGGACCAATGGCCGGTGTATCGAATTCGTACAGCCATCAAACCGAGGTTTGCTGCGAACAGGACCAAGTTGAACAAAAAGGCCGTCTCTGCACCCCGTGGCATGTGGCTTTGTCTTGTTCAATGTATGCAGGCTATTCACAATATCGACGCCCGGTTGAATGAAGTCAACTTTGCTCTTTCGAAGGCTTTGCTCAGTCTCGGCCCAAAAGGCGCTGCAAGCATCGCTGTCCGAATGTACTGTATAAGTAAAAAAGTTCGCGCGGGAAAAAAGTTTTCGCATTTCGCGCTTGAGCAACTGTGCGAACTTTTTTCCTCGTGAACATTTTGCCCCCGCGAACTTCTCGGCCTCCTCCCAAATGGGTCGGGCGCTTCCCGCGCTTTGGCCCGTTGGCATTGCACAATGACGACTGCCCTGTGCGGCGGCCTTTTGACGAGCAGCGACTGCCCCGAAGCGTCGTGAGCTGGTCAGCAGATCGCTTGCGCCGGTGGCCATCGGCCAGCCGAATCTTGGCGGCGAGGAGTTGCCATCTCCCTGGCCAGGGGGCTCTATTCTCCTCCCAGTTTCTTGTCCTGCAAAAGCCTAGCTCGAGCCCAGTCCAGCGACTGCCCCGATGGAGCCCTGAGTTGGCCGGCAGATCGCTCGCGCTAGATCGATCGCTGGTGGCCAATGGCCAGCCGAATCTTGGCGGCGAGGAGGTGCCATCTCCCTGACCAGGCCGCTCGTGCTATTCGTCTGCAGCAGGTGGAGGGTCAGGACAGCGGCCAGGGGGCGGCGCAGCGCAATAATAAACAGCGCCACCCCTGGCGAAGGTCTCAAGGGCGGCAGGAGCCCGGTTCCGCAATGTTCGCGCGGCGAAAATTTTCGCGGGCGAAAAAAGTTCACAGCAGAAAAAAGTTCGCGCACCAACGAGTGCGCGAACTTTTTACGCGCCATCTTTTTTCCACGCGAATTACGCGAATTTTTTCCGCGCGAACTTTTTTACTTATACAGTATTCACTGTTTCCCCGTCTCACATCATCCTTTTGGGTTTGTGATTCTATGAGCAGCCATCGTTGCTGTCCTATGGGTTCTCTCCCTTGTTGGCCGATTAGTAATTATGCCAGCTGCAGCACGAATGTGCACGCTCATATGGCCAACTAAACGCACTCTCCCATGCCAGGACTCCACAGAACAATTCAGGATATTCATGCTGGTTACAAGCCCTCTTGATACACTAGTCTTCCTCGCCCCTGCCCAACCAAGTCCCATGTCACTATGCAGAACTAACCGGTCCACTTCGGCACGCCCCTCATATAATAGCAGCAAAGACCTCCTGTGTGACGTATGCCACAGCGACTTGTCCTTGGCCCCCCGTCAATATCATTCCGGTGAGAGCCTCCTTCGCCCTGGCCGCTGCTCCAGCATCGGCGAATTGAACAAAGGCCTGCATCACATACAAAAGTTGAGTCGCCACAGCAATACGATTCACACAGGCCTGTGAGACGGAATACACTGTCCTTGCAACAGCCGTGGGTCAGCGAAAACATTTCGTGAGCACTGCTAACATGTACCACTTGCGGGAATACTGGAGCGTAAAACCTAGAGCTGCATGTAGACGCCCATGGGCAGGGTTTCCCAGTGCTGGAGCATCAGAAATTTTGCCCGGAAGAAAAATGTTGAAAGCAGCTCCCATGAAAATGCCGAGTTTCGTTGATACCACGTCGTACGCCAGGGACAACAGTCTTGGCACTACAACGACCGGCTTGTGGGTGAGCAGGAATATAATGCCAAAAGGCAGATCACCATACTCCGATTCTCTGGGAGTGCAGCATAGAACGCAGAACTCCTTCCTTGTTGAAGATTGTGCGTGCCCACAGCAACAAACCTTTCTTCTCGTTCATAAACTCGGGCAGTCACTGGTCGTAACATTGATCCTTGGGATTTTTGCACCACACTGACCCTAGAGAACGGCCACATTGGATGTAATTGTGACCACAACTTCCGTCACGTGTGCCTTACAGTGAAAATCCAGCCTTTTCAGAAGCATGAGTGCACTGAACAATCGTACGACAGACACATCAGATCAATATCATTGAATGCGGCTGCAGTAGAGCATCCATTACCTTGCCATAAAAGCCTGTTCCGTACAGAACATGTGCCATTTTAGCATCTGCTGGCCTTGGAATCTTCAGTTGGACTACCTGCCCATACTTGACGCATTCATCTTTCAAATTCTTTATAGCCTGAACATAGGCACAGCAACCATCACATCTCAAGCAACTGTTTCACTCAACGACACTCTGTCCATGCGAACAAGCAAGGAGCCATTTCAAACCCATATGCACAAAATACTGCACATTAAACACAGTGCTGCATGTTGCACAACATACACCCTAGTTTCAGAGTCCCAACAGCCCTTGCAATATATAGGACGGTTTCCACAATGGAATCAGCGCCAATAAGCACAACTCACTTCCACCACACTTACTGTGCACCTATATGGCCACCAGGGCAAGTCTGCCACTGGTTCATTGCACTCACGCAGTTCTACCTGCACATGCAGATTCTTTGGTGATGAGTTCTGTACCTTGGCAATCTTGATAGGGTGGACAGAAAGTACGAAACCAGACTGTTCTCATTGTTGAGTGAGAGGGATTGTGTCAGTGTGCGTGTGCCTGTGCATGCTCGTGGCCCAGGCGCTGTGAGCCTCAGGCAACAGAAGGCAAAACCACCAGAGCCTCTCAAGGGGTGGCGAGGTCTAAATTGGTGCCTGTCCGCATCCAGGACGAATGGGGATATCTCAACACAGGGGGAATGTGGATACTGTGGCCACGAAGGCCAGCTATCAAATCTAAACGGGCAGGCTATATAACTATCTAGAATTCCTCACTAGCTCTCAACTGACAGCTGACACACAGAGGTGCACAACCAGCAACAATCCAAAGCCAAACGTCTGCAGTGCTCTGCACGTACTGAATGCAATTGCCGGCACTGGTGAGAGGCAACTATGTGGCACACAGGCACTGCCGGTGTGCCATTTTTGTTTTGGTAACCATATACAAGGAGGAACAACACTAATAACGTTGTGCAACCACCCTGCGCTAGTCTTCACTCCGCCCACAACCTCACAATTCTTCCTGAGACTGACACACATTGCCAATGTATGCTGTAGTCACGGCAACTGGGATGTCAGCGATCAGCCAAGCAGGTCAGAATTCACCCACCTTCATGTAGTCTTCATCAACAGTCAGCGTTTCTCCAGAGACGGTCCCCTCAAGGCAAAGGTATGATGTCGCAGGTGTGGCTGCCAGCGCACTGCCTGTCAGCACCCCCATGGGGCTCACCCCAGCTGGCGAAGCCGCCGCAGTTGGGGACTGGACAGGCACCACATTCCCCAACGCTGCAGCAGCACTGGTGTCACCAGCGCTGAAAGCAGCCAACGCTGCTGCAGCCGCCTGTGCCGCAGCTGCTGCTTTGGATGGGTCCACATACCCGCTGGGCCTTCCAACAGATATCGACTGCCCAAACAGCTGCACTTGCCCACTCAGCTGGAGTGCAGAAGTGGCCATTTCTGGTGTCCGAAGCTCCACGAATGCATAGCGGCCATCAGAATGCATAGAGACGCTGATGACAGGCTCCATTCCAGGATTTGCGGAATCTGGGAAGGCAGCTGCCAGGGCAGAGTCGAAGAGCTGCCGCAGGGCAGCCTCAGAAACGAGGCCAGGGACAAGGTTGCCAACATACACCTGAATGGCAAGCACAGTAGCTGTCACACAATGTGCCCATCACGTACAGCTCATTTCAGCTGTCAAGGATACCAACCACAGGATTGTGCACGGCAGCATGCACGCACTACTCATCCCACAGGCCCTTCTCTCAGTGGCCTCCCAAAAGCATGAGGCACTTACACTACAAACCACACAATCTTCCATTGCCATTGCCTCTGTGCAGCACTACTGATGACAGCTGTATTGTCAGCTCACACTCTTGGTGTCCACACACACAATGACCTGTCCAAGGTTGTAATCCTATACCCAGATTTGGTGGCAACTCCGCATGGTACAGGCCTCTGTTTACCTACCAATATTTTGAAATAACGATGGATAAATAACAAGCCACTTAGGTATTTTCAGGGGAACACAATGCATGAGCAGTGCTGCTGCTGCAATCGGTCAACATCACATTTCCCTTTGCTGCGGGATGCATGCAGTGATGCGCCTCAACTACATCCAATAGCAGGGAGTTTTCAAGCTGAGGAGAAGGGCAAGGCCCAACAATCCACCTATGTTCACTGCCAGTCTCACAAGTGCCTTCAAAAGTGCTCTACATGTTCTGCCAGGCTTAAACTTACAAAAGGTTTGTAAGCAATCAAACAAACAGCGCACACACTGCACCCTCTTTGCACCCAGTCAGACTTGCACCTGACTCAAATTATCAAGTTCAAGCCACACATAAGGAAACCAGTATTTGCAATCACTCAACCACATCAAAGCTTGGCCATGGTCATTTGCTCACTACATTTCCACACATTGGCTGCAGTTTGTCACATGCTGGCAGCCAAGAGATTGTGGGACGCCAACTTGCATCTCCAGACCAAATGCCTTCGTTGAAGCAGGAATGATCGCATAAAGTTGTTCGAAGAAGCGTCTCCAGGGCACTAAAGTCTCAGCACTGTGCCACCAGGTACCTTGAGTCCAAGGTGGCCAATGCTGCTTAGGGCAATTGAGCCAACTGCTTCACAGCAGCCTGCAATCCAAGGAGTCAGAGCATGGTCAAGCAAACCAAACGTTTACACAGACACACAGAGAGGGACACCTACAGAACACAGGACAACAGCTCAGAACAAACTGCTCCAGTGGTCCATGCATGTGTATCAAGTCTGCACTTTGTTCACCACTGAATGTCCGATGGTTGGGGATTGGGGCTGAGACCTACCCGCCTTACCTCTCTCTGTGTCTTGCTGGCAGCAGCCGCAGCAGACACCGCCTGCTGCTGGAGCACCAGCTGCCTGGAGCGCAGCTGCTGCTCCTGCCACTGTCTCAGCGCTGCAGAACAGAACACCAAACACCTCTGCTCAGTACCCCTAAGAGAACTCAGAGTGTGGTTGCCTTCTCTTGCAGCAGTGTATAAGTTTGTTGTACACTGATGCAACGTAACACTGTCTCAGCATCAGCATTCAATTGGGAAATGACATGACAACATGCTTTGCCATGTTGTTGTGACCTCGGTCCACCAAACAAATTGTGCAGGCAACCATCCACTGGCCAATCGCCTCACAAACAACGAGCAAAGCTCAAAATGCACAGCATCGATCACAGCCATTTGTGTACACAGCATTCTACAAGGAATGCTGTATGTGGGAAAGTGGAAAAATAATGAAAATGTTTGACAAGCAAGGGCCGATGTGAGCGCACCATGGAAAACAAGTGCCTTACCTTCCTGGGGATCTGCTGCGGCAGTGCCTCCTTGTCTCAAGTAATAAAATGGGTCGTTACTGTTGCTGTACCCTGCCGCTGCAGCCATGAATATACACACTCAGTGAGTCATCGAACAACATGCACTCAAAGCAACTGTCGGCAGTGCAACGATTCGGAGCCATACAGCAATATCGCCTTCAAATGGGAGGGTCTGTTTCAGAGAACCAGCAGCACCATCTGAAGCAGGTTTCTCCCTTGTCTTATCGTCCATCCTGAACATTGCACCTTGTCAAAGAATGGAACAAACAAAATGGTAGGGAAGCTGTGCACAGCATGTGCTGCCTGTGGCTGGTTGTCTGCTGAGCATCTTACCTCCTGGCTGTGGAGGTTCTTGCCTCTTCCTTGGCACATATCCGCCATAGTCTCCGCTCGCACTCCTGCTCCTACGCCGGCCTCTTCTGTCTCTGCCAAATTGTAACAAGTCCATGAGGCCACAAATTTCGCTGTTTGCTAAACGACGAACCCCCTGCGCACAGCCAGATGATGCGGAATTGCAGGCGAGCACGTCCATCGGCAGCACGCACCGCCCACAACCCACAACTCCACAAGCTCTGAATCACCCTTCGCACCTCTGATCCCGACGGTATCGTTTCCCAGACCTCGATCTGGACCTGGACCTCGACCACCGATGCCTTCCCCTGGACGCGGACCTCTGGTGCGCACTCGCCTTCAACTTCGACCTCGACGCCGACCTGGGCCTCTGCCGCCTGTCCCTGTCCCGATCCCTGGCCTTTTCCCGCCCCCTGTCCCCGCGCCAGTCCCGGCTCCTCTCCCGCTCCCTGTCCGGGCGGTCGCGCTTCCTGTCTCCTCGATCGCGCTCCCGTGGCCCCCGGCCCCTGCCGCCGGCATGCTCCCCATCCCTCTCCCTGTCCCTCCCCACGTTCCGATCCCTCTCCCTCTCCCTATCCCGATCCCTCCTGTCCCGCTCCCCGCCGCCCCTCCCCCTTGCCTTCTCCCTCCCCCTGTCCGCCTCCCGCTCCCTCCTGTCCCGCTCGCCGTGCGACTTCTCCCGCCTGTCCCTGTGGGCCCGCTCCTTGCCGCCCCGCCTCGACGACCGCCGATCGCCGATCGCCGGCTCCCCCTCCCCCCTCCGCACCTTGCCGCCGTCACCCTTCCTCTCCTCCCCTCCCTCCCGCCCCGTGGGCGCCATGCTCGCATCCCTCGCTCCCTTGTGCCTGTTTTCGTCCGCGCTGTTGCCCGTGCGATCGGAGCTGCCCGCCCTCGCGTCACGCGCACCGGCATCGGCACATGCCCGCCCGTCGCCGGGCCCGGCAGATTCGCCATCCTCCCGATTCCTGGATGCCTGGCCCTCCAGCCCCCTCTGATTGTTCTCAGACAGGGGGGTGTCCTCCGCGGGTCCGCTCTCTGCCACCTGCTGTCGCTGTCCATCCCCGCGCTCGGCGCCATTTGCCGCCCAGCTGCGATCTTGGGCGCCCCTGCCCGAGCAGGCAGGCTGGTTGGCCCTCTGGCCGGCGCCCTCACCCCTCTCCGAGTTCTGTTCGTAGTCCGAGCCCAGCAGGCCGCCGTCGCCGGCCGCAGCCCCGCCGGCGGCGTCTTCCGCGGGCGCGGGGCTAATGCTGGCCCGGCTGGGGGCGGATTTCATCCTTCGAAGGGCGCCTGGGCCCCGTGCCCGCGCCCCCTCCTGCCTGCGCTGGTGCGGGGCAGGACCTGGGGGGGTGCAGGGGAGTAGCGTCGAGCAGCGTCCAAACCGGCGCAGCTTTCTTCTCACCAACCAGGCCGCCCTCTGCCGCCAGCCTAAAATTGCGCCGGGGTGGCACCAATTTTGGCAATTAAAATAAAGGGAAAATGGCAAAAAGGAGGTTATTCGCTTCACCGCAAAATGGCACACATTTTCAGCCATCTTTGCAGCTATGGTGACCAAAAACTGGCTGCACGTCCCTATAAGAAAGAAAGGCGTTTGTCAGTTGAAAGCAGAAAAAAACAAAGTGCATTGGAGAAGGAAAGCATGTACACCCCGTTGTCTTATTTGGGGGACTTGCTAAAAGCATTTTTTTAATACTTAGGGCCAATAGTTTAGCAATTTACATGAGTAAGGCAAGGAAAAGGGAGAAAACAAGCAGTTCCCGTATGGCAGCATCCTGCAGCAACCGTCTGAGCCGCAGAATTTCCATGTGACGCCACCAGCTAAACTCAAACGCGGCTTTCGGTGTCCACTATACCGAGGGAGCAGTGTGACTCAATGGGGTAAATGGCAGCCCCGCAGATTGCAATATTTCCATGCTGCAGCATGGCAACTTGCGATAGAATCTGCGCTCTTGCCCCGCCTGCCCGTGAAACCGACTGAATGGCAAATGTGACGAATGGAGAGGCGCACCCGTTGGGGTGGTGGCGCAGTGCCCTTTGTGCCGAGCTGGAGAAGACGGGTGTGTAGTTGGAAGCATTTTTCATCGAGCTACCGCACGAGGGGGACCATTAGTGGCGAGTGAGGGCGACCATATGCCGGATGGGCCGCCCCTTGCGGCTGCGCATAGGCACATTGAGGCCCGGTCAAGCGACCACACGAATGGGGAGAGAGGTGAGAAAGCAACGAGCATAGAACAGCCTAAACGCAGCAAGGAGGCAAGTTACAAAGCCGCCCGGACCATGGGCCTGCACTCTCCTGAGCAAGTGTTCGATGGTCATTACGTGTGACTGCCAAACATGGCTGGTGAGCCATGGCCACGTATATGCACGCTACAGAATGTGTGCAACCCAGATCCCCAAACAAAGGGATCCTCAGGACACACAACAACCTATTACTACTCCAGCTATAAAAGCACAGGCCAGCTGAAAATGGATTGGACTAGTGACTGGACCAGCAATCACACCCGTCACAGGCTGTGCCATGACAGGTATGGCATAGAGGTGGCCACACTCGGGTACCGTCCGCTCCGTTGCGTCCGGTTCGTAAAAGTGAGTGTGATATTCGTCCGGTAACATCCGGTCCGCTGTTTGCCGTACTGCCGTCCGCAGAATCCGGCTCTCACTTTTTCTTCACCGTTATTTGCCGCTAAATTAACGGAGGGCGTGCGCGGCGTCCGGTCCGCGACAAAACATCCGTGGATTCATAATTTTGGTCCGTTCTGTCCCGTAGGTACTTGCTTTCCAGCCACGGCAAGGTCAAGGCGAAGTTGCCAGGGGTTTCCATTTTGCAGCAGCTCGGATTGTGTTGGTTGCACGCTTCATAAACGTGTGTGGGCGTTTTCCAGGTCATGTATTCTGCGGTTTGTAATACATGGAGTGTTTTGGAGAATTGAACAACACACAAGCCGTGTGTAAAGTTCCAGTGTATGGCATGCCAACCTGCACCACTTGCTGCGGCTGGTACTGCTGCATAGTACGCAGTGCGCACCACACTCCCATTGCAAGTCTTCCCGGCCATTGCAGCAAGGGTTCGGCATAGTTGCAATACCAAACGCGGACACACAAACACCCACATCACTCGAGGCAGGCGGCAAAGAGGGTTCACCTCTGAACACAGTTGAGCCACTCAACATACTTGGGAATGGGTGATACGTATCACATATAACGATGGGTTGCTGCGGCGGTACTCCACAGTTTCCACGCCAGGGCAGCGAGTGTAAAGCCCATCCAACATAGTACGTCGAAGTTCAATAGCTCAACACATGAAAACGGGCAATGAATAATACGAGTCGTTACTTGTTATCGTCCATCTCTACCTAGTGCACCCTCACTGCGGCGGTACTCTAGAAGTTTCCACGCCAGGGCAGCGACTGTAAAGTCTATCCACCAATCGCAGTACTTGTTGGGACGCATTTCTTGAATAAAATTTTCTTCTATCTATATGATACCCAAGGTTCATCCACCACTCAACATAGTGTGTTCAAGGTGTGCACATCAACACAGGACAACGGAATATTACAAGTCATGATATCTTATCTTCTATCTCTATGGTAACCGCACTCTTGCTGCGGCGGTACTCCACAGTTTCCACGCCGGGGCAACGAGGGTGGTCACCGGTGGTGATCCAAACTTTGGAATCCAAAGTCACTACTTCCTTCCCTTCCCTCCCTTCCCTCCCTTCCCCCCCTTCGTGCGTCGATGCGCTAGCTTCTGCTGCGACCATCCACTCTCTGCCATCTGCCACCCTAGCAAGCTTAAATGATCCACGTTCTCGGGCTTGAGAACCATGCGCTTGGCCCGAACTATTAGACCGGCCTTGGAAAAAGATCGTTTACTACTGGCGCTGGAGGCCTGCAACACAACCAAAAATACTCAGTACTTCTCAGCCTGTGAACTTCATAAGGGCACTGTGGCATGTATGCACAGCCAGTTGTACTCAACCACTCACATGTATTGCTAGTATTCGACGTGCAAGCCTGGCCACCAAGGGGAAGCTGGTATGATTCTCTCGCCACCAATCCCCTGCACTCCATTTCTTTTGATACTCACATGCTGGTGTCCATTTCAATTCAAACCACCTTTCGACTTCGGCCTCGATGGGGTCCATATGCTGTGGGGAGGATGGGGCCCGTCTTCTCCTCTTTGATCGTCGGAAACTTAGTGGTCCCTTAGGTGGGGGTGATGCTGCGTCAAGCCAGCTCTGCTGCACAGCCTGTGCTGCAGCCTCTTGGGATGATGAGCCCGAGGATTGGACTTCGGGCGCCTTCACCATGTGCCTCAACTGCAGAAGTCATATGCATGCTGTTATTCACACAAGCAAAAACTATCAACAGTTGGATGCAGACATTCACAAAGGCAAAGGCCACAAATCAGACCTCAACTCACCAATGCCGTTATCTCTTTCTTCAACATCGCTTGGAACTTTGCCAGGGTGTCATATTCTTCCACCACATTCGGCCAATCGTCAGCGTTGTTCCAGATCCTCCTCATCCAATGCAATGTATTCCTCCTTCCGTCCACAGCCGCCGCTAATGCCAAGCAATATATTAGATTGACATTATCACAATCCGCACACAATTTCTGTGTGAACTCAAAGGCGAAGTCATGCAACACAGGTTTTGTGTGTGCATCGGTGTCACTGACATACAGCCGGTCGTAAAGCAACTTCAGTACATTATATAAGACATCCGATATGGTGATGTAGTCGTCCCCTCACATCGCTCAGACAATTCCCGTATACACTCCAGGACTGGCAGCGCTTGTTTGAAAATGCACCACCCAGATGCTGGTATAATGATCTTAGCAATTCTCGCGTTTGCTGTATACTCGCGGATGCTTCTCTCCAACAACACCGCCCTCTTAATCAAAAAATACATGCTGTTCCACCTCGTCGGGCACCAAGTCCCCAGACGCAATATTCGCTTTGGACAAGCCTGCTCCATTTCATTGTCAGGAACCGTCAGATCTGCATCAGGATCATCGGGCAACACAGCAATATCATCATCTTCCCTTACACCCGAGTAATCCTCCTCCTCATCATCTGATGATACATTGCCGGCCCCTGCCTCCTTTAGCAGCTTCTTTTGCACGCGGCGGAAAACACTCCAAGCAGTGGGCGATTTGTGAAAATGAGTTGCCAATTCGCGAAGCGGCTGCATGAGCTGCTGAAACTCGTCAACATTTTGGAAAGCGGCCTTGACTGCGGTATTCAACAGATGGCAAATGCAGGGGTGCCAATCAAAAATATCCTTCTTCTCGGCTGCTGAAATCATATTGGAGGCGCAGTCCGTGGTGAGAGCCACACGATCGCATGGCGACTCGTCCTGAAACGCACGCACAGGGTCCGCTTCCATCTCCGACTCCGCCATGACTTGGTCACGCGGAACTACAGGGTGCAGGCCATACTTCAATCGGATCTTTAGCAAGACACGGCTTATTGCGTCTGCAGTGTGGCTCCCAGGGAAGCTGGTAGTCCCTGTCACCACCAACGTGTTGTGCTTTAAAAGACGGGGGTTACCTTTTGCACATGATATACGCCATACTACACTGGCCGATGGCAGG